TACAGGGCTGGGAGAGCAGATTAGTATAACCGCAGGCTCCATCACTTGTACAGACATCCATCTTCTGCTTGCCTTCCATTCCTGAACACTGCTATGCTCATCTGAGATCTAGTGAGTTCAGACTGCACCAAGAATATCACAGGTCCTTTGTCCCGCCCCCACATTTGATCTCTCCTCATTGGCTGTCCACCGGATGTCTTTATGGTAGCAGGTGCCCATGTGGTTTATGGGCCCTCTTGATTGGTGCTTTTCCAACACTGTAGCTATGTAGGGGGCGAATCCAGGTAAATGGCTTGCTTTGCCATCCGTCAAACCTTACCCGGCATCAGAGGTGGCAGTGTGGTCTTTATTTAATTTCCCCAGTTCCAGCGGTATCGCATGTCTGCACATTCTGTCCCGCTCCCAGCTCGGCGTGGAGGTCTGAGGCATCTATATGACCGTGCGGAGTATCATGGACAGCGGGGAGCCGGTTCTGGGGGGAGGGGGGAGGGGGGACAGCTTGTGAGCAGAATCTTTTGAAGGTTCTAGCTGCTGTTCTGCCCTTGAAAGGGGGATTTCTTCAGCCAGATGAGTGAGTAAAGTCATAAACTAAGTAAGTTCCCATGGATGAAAGTGTGCTGTAAGTGGATTATGGAAGGAATAATATAATAGCAAAGGTTAAAGGGGCAGCCAGTGGTCTGTCGGTGACCACAAGGCCCAGCGTCAAATCGATTTCCACCTAACGATCAGTGTACAGGCTGCTCCCACCATTTTGGTTTTTCTCTATTCCTGGTTGAACACGTTTTGCCAGAGTGTGTGACAGAATGGCGGCTTTCCCTTTGATCTGACCGGCACAGGGATGAATCATCACTCCAATGCAGGAGCTGTGGCCAAAATGTGGCTGGGGCCAGTGACTGCACATTCCGACTGCGCTACATCCCAGCCAGTGACCGCAGACTCCGACAGCGCTACATCCCAGCCAGTGACCGCACACTCCGACAGTGTTACATCCCAGCCAGTGACTGCACACTCTCACATCGTTAAATCCCAGCCAGTGACCCCACACCCCGACAGCGTTACATCCCAGCCAGTGACCGCACACTCCGACAGCGTTACATCCCAGCCAGTGACCACACACTCTGACACTGTTACATCCCAGCCAGTGACCGCACACTCCGACAGCGTTACATCCCAGCCAGTGACCGCACACTCTGACACTGTTACATCCCAGCCAGTGACCGCACACTCCGACAGCGTTACATCCCAGCCAGTGACCGCACACTCTGACACTGTTACATCCCAGC